GAGAGGTCGCGGGAAGGCGACGATGCGATGCGCATCCGTATGTTCATGAGGAATGTCATGCATGTCACACGCATCAGGCACCTCATGCCCATCACGCGCGCTGTAACTGCGAGGTGGCGGCTGCCAGGTCCGCAGGGCCCGGGCCCGGGTCAGTGACTATTTGGCAAGCCACGTTTGGCAAACGCATCGTAGCCGTATCGGAGGGCGCAAAAGTGCGACCACCGCCATTTATCACAGCCCTGCGAAGGGCGGAAGCGCGCACGCCTGGTGGCTGGCTGTGAAGCCAACTTCGAACTTGTGGCCAAGGGGGCGCTCTGGCGGCTATGGAAGCGTTGGTGTGGCGTTGTAGGCGGAAGACGCCCAGCTGCCTCGCATTGCGCCCATAAACTGGCGGCTTGGCCAGAGTTGGGTGCCATGGCTCGAGGTGGATAAGCTCACCACACAGAAGCCACGACAAAATCAGACGCTCGGGAGATTGTGGCAAGAAGCAAACCTGGCAAGGATCATGGGGGCATGTGCGCGGGACCCGTCCTGGCAAAAGCATTCGCAGCCAATTGGCGGCCAAATGGAGCGTTATTCCCAAGCGGCAGAACGGCCATAAAGCCAGTCGAGCGCAGGCTGTGGAGTCCGTGCTTCCAGCCGAGGGGCTCAGAGCGACCTTGCGTGGGCAGGCAGTTACAACCCCCGTCCCAAAACCGCGCTCCCCCACCCACCCACCCACCCACTAACAAAGCAGCGATGGAGGAGATTCCGCTCGGTCGCGGTGGTCAGCCTTTCAGATCTCGATTCCAGGCGGCACGAGGTGGCCGCCACGCTGCGCCCGTTGGGGAGGAGTGTGGTTCCCTCCTCGCTCGCGCCCAGCGGACAGGGCCCCTGGCAAGCGGCCCAAGTTCACACAGCATCGCTTCAGTCAAGCCGATCACCAATTGATGACGGCACTGTTTGCCAGTTGTGACAGGTACCGATTATTTTGCCAGAATGCAACTTGCCAAATGTTCGTCGACCCACCGGAGATGGGTAGGCTACTAGGAGAATGATTACTTTTAAAGCTACACAAAAGAAATTGGAGGGGACCTTAAAAGAGCAACACAAGAAGAGAGTGCACTAGACCTGACACTCAAAATGTTAGAGCAGTGACCTAAAAATGCCCAATGCAGGTTAGCAGGGAGGTGAACTTGACAGGCGACAGAACACAAGGGTGGAGTGTGTCTCCAAAGTTTATGGAAAGTTCGACATACTGAAACTGACATAAAAAATGCGGAAGCAGTGAGGTGGGCAACGGGGAAGGCGGGAGCCAAGCAATTGCGAAAGAGAAAGAGGGCAAGTTCCTGCACTTTCGGCCGTTTGGCTGCATCGAGGGCTGCTGAATGTTGCGGCGGGGTTTTTACACATTCCTTCCACAGATTCGTCGAGCACCATGCCTTGGCAGCCAGCGCAAGGCAGTCGCCTGGGCGGCTCCCTACACGGTTCTGTGGGGCGCTCACAGGTATCTGATGCGCGTGGTGACCTGCTACATGATCGACAACGCTGGGAGAGAAGCCTCAACCCACGAAGACCAAGAAGACACGAATCTGGACACATTCATCTTGTATGACAATGGTCTTCGCCATTGTGGCCATTGACCCCTGGAACCGCGTGGCGATGCACAAGAAGTTTGACAGCTCCTACAGTGTGACCGGCTTGGTTGGATTGGGTGACTCCTTCCTGCGGTTCTGATGCAACGGCCCTGCCGTATGCAAAGAGGTTCGTACAATCATCCACAAAACATAAGGCGCTGTGCGGGGGGAATCTGATGTGATGATCGTGGAGGTGGTGGGAAACACCGTTGCCATGGCACAGGCGGAGCTTCCCTATGCGCCGCAACAGAGAAAAGAAATGGCTGTGCGGCAGGTGGCGGAGAGAGAGCCATTGCTTCCCAATGCCCCGCCGATGGGCACAGCGCGGGCCTCACCCAGCCATGCCGAAGCTGCTGTGGGCAATACCTGAGGTGGTGGCGCGCGGCCCAATCAACAGAACATGCTTTGTTCCAGATTCTGCGACGTGACTCGTTGGACGCTGAGCCGAGCTTGGTCCTCGAGGGCCGTGCTTTGTTGACATCCCACGTCCGCCGTCGAGCAGATGTTTCCCGATTAAGATTATGCGCTGGGTCTGTGCTACCTGTGCCAAAATTACTTTTCGGCTCTCTCAAACGACTGAAGTGTTGGGTGCTAGAGCACCACTGTTAGGTGTCGACTGATGTCACTTTTGCACACACACACACACACACACACGTGCGCTTGGGTAAGTGCTTGAAGCGAGGGTTGAGGGTTAATAGCCAATGAGAGCGGCTGTTGGGCAGAGTCGGGTGATCCATGCATGTGGTGGCAGCTAGTGCAATGCTGTACGTTACATCGCCGCTTTCGGTGGTGCTTTTGCAATTTCGCTGCATACCTTTGGAGTCTTTGAATCATTACAATTTTGGTGTCTTTGTATTGATTCTGAAGCACCAATTGATGCCAGGCTTGTTGCTTGCGTGTAAATAGGTTTCTGCTTACCCAACGTCTTGCATGAATGTTCTTTTTCTATTTTGGCACATACTGTGCCACAATGCACTTTATGTTATGGCTTTAAAGGGCAAATTCATTGTGATGGCCACGGGCACTGTGAGGTGGAACATTGGTGTCAAAGCTTTCAACACACCTGGCCAGTTCTAAGCCTGGTCAATTGCATTGAAAGGTTTCTCATCAATGCGCCAACTTCGTGCCGGACGGGGAGGGGATACAGTCAAGCATAGCTGGGTGTTGCCTTTTGCAACGAATGGTTATGGATACCAAGGATGGAAACTTCAATTCACGGCTGAATGTTTAACTAGCTTGACAAACGTTGAAAGCCGGGCAGGAAGAGGATCCCTCTAAGCAGTGGTGTTGGTGGCTCATGTAGGCGCATGGTGGGCGCCATCAAAGTAGCCACCACAACAATCACATCAGGTCACCAATCCTGGTGGCGCGTGCGAGTGCATTGCGTTGTCATCACAGCAACCAACACAACGGCCGTCTCAATGCCGAATGCATAGTGAACGTGCATTGTGGCATTGCAACACCATCACTAGTTGCGTCACATCTTCGTTCAGGAACAGCCGATATGCTTCCCAGAGCGTCGCGATGGTTGAATGGTCTGCTGCCGCAAATATACTTGTTACCGCTGGTGAGACACCTCGTCGCCATTTATTCACAAGCGGCATTTTATATTTTGTGAATATTTAACTTTTCCAATGGCCACTTCTATTCACGTCAAAACTGCGACACATTGCTGCGAGGCGTTTGGTTCATGACCAGCGTGAGGCGGCCTCGGTCTGTGGGAGGTGCCTGGAGAGGTCCCCACCAATGTGCTGTAAAACCACTCCAATGCAACGGGAGTCGCATTATGGGACCAGCACAGCAGCTGCAGCAACATTCGCGTGGCTCATTACGAGAGGGAGGCAGAGGGTTTAGGACAGAGGTTCGCATGTCGGTGTCATTGCAACGTTGCCCTTACGTGCAGACCGACCAATCAATGAAGTCCACCAACATTCCTTTTCCCGGAAGTATACCGCTGTGATTCGCGCACCGCCGTGAAGTTCTCTCACTCCTTCGTGATCCTGCGAAGCTAGATGGAGCTTCTAGGGGCTGACGTTGCCGGCTGTGACCGTCAGGCAGTGCTGTCAGGAGCACAAGGTCCTTTCTCGGGGAAAGATACGGCCGCGATTCGCTGCACTGCCATCAAACTCGCACACCTCCTTCGTGATCCATGTGAAGTCAGATGCAGCATTTAAGGCCTGAGGTTGCTGACTTTGCCCATTGGGCGGTGCTGCCAGGAGTACGTGGAGGCCACCTTGCACGGCGGCGGAGGCCAACGGAAGTCTCACCAGGCGGCGGCGCGCAAGGTCTCTGCTCTGGTCGAGTCTACCCGCGCCAGTGAGCAGCCCAGATACCCATTTTACCCCTGTGTGCTGTCCCCAACACCCAGATCGCTTGCCCCACGAGCCCAGCGCAGTCGCGCCCCCCGCCCTGCACGTCTTGCGACAGGCGCATGGCCGTTCCGCTCCCCCCACGACCGGGAGCATTTCTGGGCTGCCGCTGGCCCACGCCACCGATGCTGATGGCGATGGGCGCCGTGCGGTGATGCTGTCGCGGGCGCACCCTAGGGCGGCGGCGCTCACGAGAGGCCGCCGGAGAGTGCCATGCCTGGCGGATGTTCAGCGCTTCGTTAGCGGCCGCAGCGGCGGCCGAAAGGCCGGTTGCCCTGTCGAGCCCTTGCGCCGCTGGTGGAGCGCGGCGCCGTTCTGCCGGCCGCCAGGCCTAGGTTAATTGCGCGGCTGGTTCGGGACCTGCACGCACTCTGGAGTGTCGGGTGTCGTTTGGCCTGTGGCGCCCATTTGTGGAGGCTTCAGGCCCATTTGTTGTGAAACGGTCCTGCGGCCTGGAGCATGGAATCCGCACAGCTGCGGAACCCCGAGAGCGGAGGGCGGGCGGGTGGGGTGGTAGGTGGTGGCTGAGGGGGCGGGGGCACTGTAATGTTCGCTGGGCGCCACGCTTGGTAGTTTCGAGGCGCCTGGCGTCATGCCGTTGGCCAAACCACTAGGGTAATGCCTATTGTCGTTTTCGACCAGTGCCACGCACGCATCCGCGGATCGAGGTCAGCGGCATGACAGGGCGTTCGCATTTGCCTGCGCCGTAATTATGCGTTGTTTATGGTGGGAAGGGGAACGGAAAATCCTTGGAGGCGCATTGTATTTCGCGATTGTATTACTGCTTTTGTGCAATTCGCACGTCTGTGACCTTGCTGCGTCGTGCTTTCTGTTGTTTATCGTATTAGGGGCCCGTTCTGCGCATTATGGCTTTGGCTTAGTTGCGCAACGTCCCTTTGCTGCAGCGCCATTATGCATGACACGCTCGCGACCAGCAGTGCGAGGCGTAGCAGTGCACAAACTTCTGCTGCGTTGTCGCGCTTTCTGAAACCTCGCTCCTGTCCTGCCGTCCCAGGTCAATGGACGGCCGACGCCTACTCGAGGTGCTGGCGATGGTGGCCCTGGTCTCGCCGATCACCGTCCGAGCCCAGTGCGTCAGCCCGTACGTCGTCCAGGAAGGCGACTTCCTTTCCAAAATCGCGGAGATGATGGGAATTTCTGTGGAGGAGATCCTGGCCGCCAATCCCCAGATCACTGACCCGGACCTAATATTCTCGGGCATGTCTCTCACGATTCCATGCCCGACGCCAAGCGCGCCAAACCCGGGGGGCGGCTGCTCTGGTGGCTCCAAGGGCGATGCGACGTTCTACTATGTGGGCGTCGAAGGCGACATAAACAGCGACGTGAAGGGTGGCTTCACTGCGTGTGGCGAGAAATTCTCAAACAAGGAATTCGTGGCTGCCCTCAGCTTCGACGACTTCGACAGCTCCACCAGCAACCCCAACATGTCGCCGACGTGTAGGATGTGCGCGGAAGTGTGCGGGCCAGCGGGCACGGCCGTAGTGAAACTCAAGGACAAGTGCGAGGCGTGCAAGTCCGGGGACATCGACCTGTCTCCCGCGGCGTTCTTGGATGTCGTGGGGCCCCTGGCCATCGGCAGGCAGCCGGGAGTCGAATGGCGCATTGTCAATTGCCCGTGAGATTTAGTCGCTGGAAGCGGTGGTGGGAGCGAAGGTCGTGCTTGGATTTTGGATTTAATCGCTCAGGTTGGATGTGTTGGTTTGAGTTTCCGAAGTTGGGAGCGCTTGGCAGGTGCACGGAGTTCCATTCAATGCAGAACGAATGGCAGCGTTTAGAGCCGAGAAGAATGTTGATTGAATTTAGGATTTGATGGGGACAGTGCACCCTTTGTTGTTCGTCGATTGTGCTGTCACCAGATGACAATCTAAATGGCTCAGGACAATTTGGCCCGGCGATGTTTTGGCCAAAATATGGTGACATGGCAGAAAGGGAGCAAAATGCACGCAGCCTACTCGTGATGGGGCCGACTGGAGCGATACGCAGTGAACATTCCCCACTTGACCTGAGCCCCAGCGTCCTGTCTCTTTGGTTCTCACCTGCTCCATGCGCTTACCCTTTTCTCCGAAGCTGCCCGGTGGCAAACAGATTCCCGCCTTGCCTTTCTGGCTTGTGGCGCCTGACTGATGGCGGTAGATATCCTGTTGTGCGAGTGTCGCCATATGTCCTACCCGACCACAGTCTGTGGCTTTCTCTAAGAGGGCTGTCGTCACCGACGCCAGTGGCAGTTCGACGATACCTAGGCGACGGGTGGACAGGGTGGTGGGTTGATTGGGTCAATCCCTCCGGCACTGCGCGTGATGAGGCACTGGTGATTGGCGGCTGTGGAAGATACTGAGCGCGACTGAAACTGAAGGCTGTGCGCTTGCGGCCTGGTACTCCCTCGTGCCGTCGCGCCCTTACCGGACCAGACGGCAGCCAATTGCCAGGACCACTCGACCACCCAACACCAACCCCACACCCCGCACCACGCCGCACCACGCCCACGTGCGTTTTGATTGCCGCAAAGCATTGCAGCAAATTCGCCCGTGGCAAAGTCCTTGGTTTGTGGCCGATGCCCCCGACCCCTTCCACTCGAGGGCCCGCTGGACCACAGCAGGCTTGGTAAAGGCGGCTGGTGCCTATTCAAAATACGCAATATTACGTGCATTTTGGCACAATGTGAAAATGCGCGTATTTGGATACGTTCTTTGGAGCTATTATAACAAATGTCAGTCTGGTAAATTCGTTGCTGCGACATGCGACCTCCATCCTGTGGACATGCGACTTGCCCTTCACGACAGCTGGGAAATTGGGCACGCTGTGGATTAGGCAAAGAGCGAGTTGAGACGCAGAAGATCCATAAAGCGGCGGCAAAACAGTGAGCGAATTCACTGCCTAGCGGGATAATTAGATGTGATGCGGCATTGTCATGGCCAGTGTAAGTAGATCTAGAATTGCTGTGTGCCGTGGGAACGTACCAGATGCTGTGAGATAGAGATAACGCGCGTTTCCATGAGCTACGCAATAGATTGGTCTGAAACAGATACTGACACGTTAAGTTTACATGGTGCTGAGCTGTCAATTGATCCACGCTGCACCCTTGCTCAAACGTGTGCAAGATACAAGCAATTGTTCTTCCGATGCTCCTGTAAGGTCCAAGTATGAGAGGTTGTTTGATGACGTAGTCATTGGTTTGGTGTTAATAAGCAACGATGTCGTGAACTGCTTGGACAAGGGTGCTGACTGATTGAATTTACATGTCATTAAGTTTTGGGGGAAAACTGCTGCCGAATGTTTGGGCTCCGTTTCACGCCCTCAAAAAATACGTAACGAAACGCATATGTTTCCGTAGAGTTATTGTTAGCCGTATCCGTACTGTGCAAGCCTGGTCCAGGGGCCCTGAAACGCCACGCCTGGTGGATTGCGCAGTACTTACAGGTGAGTCAACCCAACGATACTTTCAGTAAAGCGTTGAATTAACAGCTGCGAGGAAGTGAAGAAGGGAAGGTATTGGGGCATACATTCGCTCTGGTGCATGTCCAGTTATAATAGAAAATTAAACAATGGCAATTACCCTGCGGTTTAATCGGAGTCAAAGAGAAAGCCTCCACTGGATCGCTCTGGTGCATGTCCTGTTATAATAGAAAATTAAACAATGGCAATTACCCTGCGGTTTAACCGGAGTCAAAGAGAAAGCCTCCACTGGATGAGGTGCAGCGCGGGAATACGTTGGGGGGCTGAATATTAGAGAGAATGCAAGAATCGCAAAGCATTGAGTAAAGGGAGTGGCATCCACGACCACCAAAGCACCATGTAGCAGAACTCATCGTGCTATCCAATTCTATTCCGGATTCAATGCGACAAACAATCAGAAAGACAACAGCCTTTGCTGACACTGATTGTGTGCTGAAAACGTCCGATTCCCTCTCTCATTGTTGTGCCATCTCCGAGGCTTGCTGTGTCCAAGGTTTCATCCCACGTCATCATAAGTACCAGTGTTCTTCTGGAATAGCACAATGAAGGAAACGCGGCCGGCAAACCACAACATTTGTAAGCAAAGATCAATGATCTGTCACTTCCAAAATAAATGTGACTCGCGTCCCCCAGAGGCTGTTGGGTCACCACACTCTGCGCAGTTGGTCATACACGAACCAAATTTTCTCGACAAAACTACAAGCAATGTGATGAGGCAGCACAGTCTTGCCGCCAGACCCACTTGTTGCCCCACAACCCCACTGCGCTAATGCCCTACTTCCCTTACCGAGAACATCCACAATTTCTGGCATTGTGTGTCTTCTGGAAGCATCCGGGAGTAAGCACCGATGGGTCAGCTCAGCCATGTAGTCAGGACAACCAGACGGCATGTAGCATGGTTCCATGCCATCTCGCTTCATTCCCAGGACATGCAAATTGCACTTAGCGCCTGCATAGGGCGCTTCGTGGTGACCACCGAAAGCATCATCAGAGCATAACTTAAAACTCCGTTTTTGCAAGTGTGTATATCGGCATACAGAATGCGCTACCGAAAATGAATTCTATTTCCTAAAAAGGTGCAACTTTGCTCATCGAGATACGGTTCTAAAAGGTCAAGAGATCTCACTTTGCCCATTAGGGGCGAGCTGCAACCTGCCACACAGTTGCCGCAATTGGATGCACTTGGGAACTATGTGCACCCTCATGCAAGCTGTATGGTTAGTGCAGAGTCTCCTTCTGACACGCCCAATTAAACGCCCTTCTGTTGTCTTGAAGAGGGAAGGCGGCTGGTAAAAAACTGTCCAAAAATACACGGTCCTGAAAACCGTGTACCATGTTATGGGTGTAAAAGCGGCGTAAAATTCGTGTAGACATCATGTACCCATCGTGTATTGATCACGAAATAGACGGCTGCCACTGGTACACTGTTGAAATCGTGTAAAGTCGTGTCCTTTATCGCGTTGTCCATGGTGGTAAGGTGGACCACTTTCTTGTACTACACAGGGCTGAAAAATGCACGATTTTAACAATCGTGTAAAATCGTGCTCCGAAGTACCCAATTTCTACACGATTTTATCACGATTTCACACGATTGCACACCGTGTGAAATGGTCGAATTTTTTGCCAGTGGCCCTGACCTACACTTCTGCGAGTCTACCTTGCTGTGGTGCTTGGGATGTACATAGGTTGATATGCTGTCTGCCTCATTGCCCAGAATTGCTCTATTATCCAACAGATATTGAGTATGTCGATGTGTATGCTTTGTGGCAACTCACCGTGTACACGCCACTCACACAAGGAGGCATGCCACTCACGTACAGGAATCCTCAAATATTGGTCTTTAGCGATGAAATTACGGTCTGAAATCATACCTGGATTGGCGGCCTCAATATCTCCTACAGTTACTGTATGCCGAACCGTTTGGCAATGTCGATGAGCGCATCGCCATGCTGAACTTTGTACCCATCCACGCGCGGCCCTGCCATTTAATCTAGAATCCATTTTATGCGGATGCCAACGTTGCAAAGCAACAGAAAAGACAGCCGTTGGGGCAGAGCAAGCTACTGGCGAGGCAGCTGGGTACAAGAGCAGCAGCGAAATTGCCCAGAGCGCTTTGAACAAAATAGCGGTCGGCTGACATGGCGATGCACCGGTAGATGGATGGCCAAGCATTTGCTCATCCAGCGCAAGCGCCACAGCTCTTCGGAGGAAAACACCCCAACGCCGCGAACTTGCTTCGACCGCGCCTGTTTGCTCGGGAATTTTTCCATTTTTCGTATTCACCCGTGCGCCCACGGTTGCCGGCGTTCGCAGTTGTCGGCTTTGCAATGACGCCGAGTCGAAGCATCACGAGCTGGCGGCGGGACCCGTGAGCGCTGTCATCCAACAGCAAAGGCGGCTGGCCGCACCGCCCACCACCCGCCGCCGCCGGTCCGCCGCATTGCACACAGAGGCCACGGACAAAATTCGGGAGGCCAGGGCGGCGGCCCACCGCGCTGGGGGACACCGCCTCAGGGAACAAGTCGGCGGCGGCGACGCGCAGAGGACGGTCGGGGGGGAGGAGGGATGACGCAGCGCATTCGCGAGGCACAGTGAGGAGCAGTGGCGCCGTGCGCGATGGATTCAAAAGCGCACGGCCCGCACCCCGGCGTCCACCGCGCCGGCGCCTCCCTCGGAGGGGCTCTGGCTGGGTCGGCTGCATCGATCGCGGTGCGCAGGGGATCCGGCGACAGTCGGAAGTCGGCTGGCGGTTGTGACGAGGGCGTGCGGGCTGCTGGGGGCAGGGCCGGAGATGCGACGGGGGGCAGCGGCCGCGCGGTGGCGGCGGCGTCAGTAGGGCGTGGGGGGAGGCGTAGGAGGGTGGCCGGGGAGGGGGGACAGATGGTGTGGTCGACGCCGGCCACTCACCAGGAGGACCGCGGCCTGGAGCCTGGGCATCCTTTGGCGTTCTCTCGCCCTTCGCGTGCGCGGCTGCCAGACGGCATGGGCGAGTGCCTCGACATGCTCCTCAACATTGCGTCGGCGGATTCGCATGGCACCTGCAATTGATCCGGTCATCATCCGCGGTGTGGTTAGTGCTGTGTGCGCTCAACGGGCGCAGCCACCCGCGCTTTCCAGAAGAGACTATACCTGGGGTCCCTAGGCACCAGAGGCGGCCTGCCAGCCT